TGATATCTTTCTAAGATTATTGCTTGAATCAAGGACTACTTTTCCTTCTTTGTTACTTGTAATAACAATCTTATGTTGTTTTCAACCCTTGGTTATCTTGTTTCACTTTATGAGATTTTTTATCTGCAAGTTTTTAGCGGAATTTCATTTCCCCTAACATCAAAATTACTAGGTTTTTCTTAATTGTAAATATTCTCTAACTCTCATTTCAAATCCTATCTCTTTATTGCGTTCAAATGATTGCTAATATAACAAATTCTAGTAATCACATCTCTTATTTTTGGAATGGGTTGAATCACTATACTTATAAATTGGTGTATTTTCTGGATTTTGAGAACCTTGCTCAAGTTGAATGGTTCAATATGATATGGTTTAAAATGTATTCTTTGAAGTTTGTTTTACATAACTGGAAAATAATTCACTGTGGCATAACAATCATGGATATTTTCATCAATATAGAAATCTCTATGAACCCAATATGTGCTTTATGTCAAACTGATATGGAGACTCAGGACCACCCTTCTTGAATGCACTTTCTCTTTTGCCATACTTAGAGGCTGCATTTTTTATAACTTTGTGGCTGAAAGTAACTTATTTCATGTTATTTATCATTCAAACTCTTTCAATAACATAATTTTGAAAAAGGTTTTATATTTTGGTTGTTCATTCTATTGCATATGATATATAGTTTGAGAAGAATTGTAGTATTTTTAGAAATGATATCACTCATGTTGAGGCTCTCATTAAGAATATTCACAGGACCATCAAACATAAATGCAAGAAATGAAATTTTAAAAATGATGGTATAACAACACCCCCACATATGGTGCAATGACACCTTACAAAGAGTTGCAATAATGCCCCCCAAAGATGGTGCAATAATGCACCATGAAGATGATGCCTTTTTATGAACTCATAAAGCTCCTTCCTTGCAGCTTCCGACTTTGAACCTCATGGCCTACAAACATAATCACAGCTCACTGCTCGACTTAGGTGGTCCACATGGGGATGTGATTAGTATATTTCAAGTTGGTTGGTTGAAGTAGAGGAATGCATCTGACCTATTGTGTGATAGAAAATACCGCTTAGACTTAAAAAAAAATTTTATAGGTCGGTAATGAAATCCTCAATGTTCTATGGTGCAAAATGTTAGCCTTTAAAAGACAAACATAAAAGAAATTTAAGTTTTTGAGACAATATGGTAACCACTGTTAAGCAGGATTTCACTAAATCTTGCCAAATAGCAAAAAATTGATCACGTAAATCCTTCTCTTCATTTATCCAAATAGCCCCTT